TGCTTACATACATAGGGTTTCTCCCCAGTGTGAACTCTTTCATGTATTTGACAACTACCACGTGTCATAAAAGCTTTCCCACATTGTTTACATACATAAGGTTTCTCCCCAGTGTGAGTTCTTTCATGTATTTTACATTGATTGTGTGTAATAAATGTTTTCCCACATTGCTTACATACATAGGGTTTCTCCCCAGTGTGAATTCGTTCATGCATTTGACAATTAAATTGTGTGCTAAAAGCTTTCCCACACTGCTTACACACATAGGGTTTCTCACCACGGTGAATTCTTTCATGCATTTGACAATCAGCGTGTCTGCTAAAAGCTTTCCCACATTGCTTACACACATAGGGTTTCTCTCCAGTGTGAGTTCTCTGATGTCTATGAAGTGAACGGTTTGTACTGAAGGCTTTCCCACATTGTTTACATACATAGTGTTTCTCTTCAGTGTGAGTTCTTTGATGTCTACAAAATGAAGTGGTATTGGTGAAGGTTCTGCCACACTGTATACATTTAAAAGGTTTTCCTCCACTGTGAGCACTTTCCTGTATTTGAATGTAGTGCTGAGAATTATAAGCTTTTCCACATGGTGTGCCTACATAGGAATTCACTGCACTCTGATTTCTTTCATGGATTTGAACATAATTGTGTGTACTGAAGGCTTTTACATCTTGCTTACATACAAGGGGCTTGTCCGCTATGTGAGTTCCTTCACTGCAATCAGGGTAGGCTTTCCCACGTTGCTTCTGTTCATAGAGTTTCTCTCCAGGGTTTGTACTTGCCTGCTTCTGAAAGGACTGGAGATCATTGCAGGTTTTCCCATGTTCTTTACATGTAGAAAGGCTCTCTTCAAATCCCAGACACTCAGATAACTTGAGTGCAGTGTGAGCTATGATGGGCCCACTAAGTGATGAATCACCAATCAGGGCCTGGCTGCAAGCAAGGTTTTCAGTTTGTTTAGTACCAAGTGGCTTCATGTTCACATTAGGACCTGGAGTGCACAAAAACATGACTCCATGTTTAAGCCACAATTTTAATTGACAGCATTTCTCTACCTCTTTACTTCTCGAATTGCTCCTCCAACATCTGAACTCATCTTCATTTTGCCCGTCATCCCAGTTTCTTTCTATAGCAGTCACATTCTTAAAGGTTTCCCACATCACATCTCTGTGGAGCTGCTTCTGGGATGGATCCAGCAAAGCCCACTCTTCCACAGTGAAGTTCACAGCCACATCCTCAAAGGTCACTGTCTCCATTTCGTGGCTTGAAGGTGTTCCAGGGTCCTTCCCATGCAGCTCGCAGGATGTAAAAGTCCTAAAGTAAGATGGTTTAGCCAGCTGGGGTGATTACCACAAATGTACTCTGGATCGGGACTTTGGTGCCAGGACACAGGAAGTTGCAGCAATCCTTATAATAAAAAAGGAAATTATGTTTTCTTAGAAAAAGAAAAAAAGTACAAAAGAGAGAATTGAATAGAAAATGCAAAATATACCAAACACTTTTCATAAAAGTTTGAATTTAAAAAAAAGTATACTCAAAAATAAAAGAATTTTTGAGTAAGACAAATATTTACAATATGACTGGCAGACTCAATCTTACAGTTTTGTAGCAGTCATCACGCCTATGAACTCAGTTCACATACATATTTACATGTATCTATATCTCTCTCTCCTTTATATCTATAGTGCAAATGAATCATGACTCATTAACCTTAAGTTCATAGAAATGGCAGTCTGAATAACTGTGGGTTGGGTTTGGTTTGGAAAAGTTAAAACACTCACACATACAATTGTTTAGCTTGAGTTCTAAAGTTTTTGAAAATGCCACCTATAGAAAATTCTGCTAAATGTGGGGTTGCTTCATATTCTAATCAGATGTAATCAAACCACCCAGAGTAAATATATGGATAGACTGTCTTCCTGTCTTTATTATTTACTGTGTATGTAAAAATCTCACTATAGAACTTCACTCATTTATTCATTTTTGTGATACTGGGCCTCATGCATGCTATGCAAGTGCTCTACCACTGAGCTACATACTCAGCCCAGAATACAATTTGAAAATAAATTTGACAAATATATTAGGTAGCTAGGGAATTAAAAATAAAGCATTTATTCTTAGGTTAAAGAGAGTTTATTAGTTTCAGCATAAAATTACATACTATATTTCAATAATTCTTAATTCTGTAAGTCATTTATTACATATTTATATATTAGATACACATATGTATTTTTCTATATAGCCATAAAATCATCATCATAATTATGATTTAAAACTGCTGTACATGATTTGATTTTGGCCACAACGGAGTATGTGACTAGCCTCCTACTATATACAAATTATAAAATGATATAAATATAGAAGTAACTGTTTTTAAGCATTGGACAATACTTTTGATAGGGCATGATTATGCTCCTTAAGGGAAGAGAAACATAAAAGGTGAGTCCCCACAGCCGCCAGATCATTCTGTCCAGGGACAAATTTCTAGATAGCAGTGCAGAGAAGTGGGACCCAAGCAGAGTGGTTATCCACTGAATGGCAGTTTCATGAGTGGGAAGGCAGAGGTCAGAGTTCACAGTTGCTGAGGTGGGGAGGTTTGTGCAGCAGAACACTGAAGAGGGTGCTGGACAGAGGGTGGGGTCCCTGAAGGCTGCAGGAGAGCTCCTCCCAGGGCTGATAGCTGGCTGCTCATCCACAGGGTGAGATTCCAGAGAACCTAGTGGAGCGATTCTGGGGATGAGAGTGGAGGAAAGAGACCTAACTAGAGATAGGCAGTAAGTGCTTGGAGCCACTGGAGTTCCAGTTACACCACAGAGGATCGATCCCTCCGAGTGCCTCAGGTATTCAGTTAAAACCCTAGAAATAGTATGCCACAGGAAAAAGAACCACATTAGATTCAGCACAGTATCAAAACAGTCCCACCCTCATAATACCTAAAATTAACACTGACTCAAGCAAGATCTGCCAGTAAATGAACCACTTGTCAGAAAAAAACTCAACATATTTTTTTCTTTGCTTTGCTTTTTTTTTTTGGTACCGGGGATTGAACTTGGGTCCTTGCGCTTGCAAGACAGGCGGCATAACCACTGAGCTAAATCCCCAGCCCTTTTCTTTTTATTTTAAAAAATATCTTTAAAGTAAAATAATCCAGACTCTACATAAGATATAATTCATAATATCCACCGTAGAGTAAAAAATTATTAGGCATGAATCAAGAGAAAAGGCAGTCAATAAATATAGACTTTGGAAAAACCAAATACCGGAATTAGTATACAAGGACTTTAAAAGCAGTGGAAATTGAGACCCTAATTCAAAATACTAAGCTGGGCATGGTGGTACATGCCTGAAATCCCAGCACTCAGGAGGCTGTGGCAGAAGGATTGCCTCAAGTTCAAGGCCCAGTTGGGCTACACAGTGAGTTCAAGGCCAGCTTGAACTGCATAGTGAGACCCTGTCTCAAAAAAAACCAACCAACCAACCAAACAAAAAACAAAATAATAATTAAAAAAAGAAGAAGGGCTGGGGATATTGCTCAGTATGAAGGCCCTAGGTTCAATCCCCACTAGTGAAAAAAAATGTCCAATGATTTAAAGGGAAAAAAAGAGACAGAATAAATGAATATATGGGGGAAATGTCAGCAAAGAAATGGAAGCCCCCCCTTTTTTTTTAAGAAAAGGAAATTCTGCAATGAGCCCAATATAATATCTGGGAAAAAAATTCATTGGGTAGATTTAACAGTTAATGAATACTGCAGGAAAGTGTCAGTAAACTTAAAGACATGTATAGAAGATATTCAAAATGAAGAAAAGAGAAAAAAAGTTAGCCCTGTGGGATAACACTGCTACAGTTTGGGTTCATGTGTTGGAGGCTTGGTCTTCAGTGTGGCAGCATTGGGAGGTGGTGGGCCCTTGTGGGAGGTCCTCAGGTCACTGCCCTCAGAAGGGCTTAAGGCAGTTCTTAGGGGCCCCGAGTTCTGAGAGTGGGCCTGACCTGACCCATCTCTGGCCGTGTGATATCTCCCTCTCCGCACACTCCTTTCATTGCTATGAGGCCAAGCTGAGGCCAGGACCATGCCCTTGAGCCTCCAGAACTGTGAGCTAAATGAACTTCTTTTCTTTACAGTTACCCAGCCTCAGATATTTCATTATAGTAATAAAATATGGACTACTACAAATATCAATTTGTCTAGAAAGCACATACACTGAAGCTCCTGGAAAAGGAAAGAGGGAGGGAAAAAGAGAGGAAGGGATGAGGGGAGGAAAAAGGGAGGAAGGGGGGAGGGGAAAATATGGACGAGAATGGATAAGAAAAAACAGGAAGAAGTACTGGCTACAATTTTTCCAATTTCACTGATAAAGCAATAAAAGTTAATTTTATAAAGGACTGACCTTTGGCTGCAGGTGTACTTCAGGGGTACAGCATTTGCCTAGCATGATCAAGACTCAAGACTGTAAAAACAATTAACTAATTAATTGAAAAAATACATAAAATATCAATTCTTGGAGACACATTTTTTACATATTCTACATTACAAAATGATTCTGCTTCATACTGACATATGATAATTGATGAGGAAAAGTACTCATGTGATATGAATTGTGAACTAAACTTCTTGCTATTTTTACTTGAAAGAATAACTGTAGATAAAACTATAGTGATTCAGACTTGGGTATTTGGCATATTATTTTCTCAAAAGTAAACAAAATGAGCCTATCACTTCAAGAAAATCAAATGACAGTATTTGTTGCCAAAGCTATATCTGGAGCTTTCAAGCAAAAATTAGAATTTTGGAAAACCTATGTCTACCACCGTGATTTTGATAAGCTTCCTGATACTTACAGATTTTTCCTAATGAGCCTGATGGTGATATTAACAAATGTGATTTTTAAATATTGTATAATGAAATGTGTCAACATTTGGAAGATCTATATAAAACTGAGAACCAATCTTTCTCAAACTACCCATGTATGATGTTCTGAAATGATGCACGGGTAAAGGATACATCCATAGTTCAAGGTATACTAATGGATTATAACAGAATATGAAAAGCTCTTTCATATGGTTTCCTAGTCCATATTGCAACCAAGAAACTGTGACTACTGAGATTTAACGTAATATCAAGAGAAAAAAATTCCACAATAATCTGAAAAGGCTTCTCTCCTTTATAAGCACATCTGTGTTAGGCCAAATTTCCTTCATATAATTCAACCTAAAAAAAATTACAAAAATTGAATGCAGAAGCAAATATGAGAATCCAGCTTTATCCATTAAGTCAGACGTTAAAGAGACCTGCAAACACTCAAAATAATGCCACTCTTTGTTCTGCATTTTTGGGAACATACAGATATTTTCATTAAAATATGTTGTTTAAAATATAATAGGCTAGGGGCTAGGGATTTAGCTCAGTGGTTCCACTGCCTGCCCTGCAAGTGCAAGGACCGGAGTTCGATCCCCAGTATCAAAAAAAAAAAAAAAAAAAAAGAGGCTTATTGTTTTAATGTCTCAGTTTTAATTTCTAATATGGAAAACATCAATAGGCATAATCCATAAAAATAAAAGGTTTTGGGGGCCCCTCAATGATTTAAGGTGTAAAGCGGTCCTGAGACCAAAATGTTTCAAACTACTGCCCTAGAAAAATCTCTAAAAACTACTGCAGAGATGTACAGCTAAACAGTAAAGAAAATATAATATTTAAAAAGTATTCAATTTATCTAAAAGAATGCAGGTAAAAGGAACAGAGGGAAAACAAGAGGAGAGAGAGCAGAGAAGAGGAGAG